GAATCACAATAAGTGATGTCACAAATGTCAAGGTATGTGTCCCGGAAATTCTTTCATCCTTCGACCTTCGGACGAAATGCAATTTAATCGCTACCGGGGTCTTTATTTGGCATCATCATATAAAGTACCACTTGTACCGATATTAATCATCACTTTCATTACAATCATAAAATGTCACTAAGAGACAAAAACATCGTACATTACCGGCAAATGCGACAACTATAAATGCTTAATAAACGCTTCAATGAGTTATTGTAAAGACACAAAGGATTGACCCGGAAAACTATTATAAATTCCTTACCGATACTTCCGTAAAATCGAAAATTTTCTGCAATCACTTAATGACATCTTAAATGTATGGTTTTAAAGGCTGAAATGAGTTATTAAAGTTAACATTATAGAGAAATCAAAAGATAGCGATTATCTCAATTTCTTCCGTATAAGAAATAATAAACTTATAGAAACTTAACACAATGCATTAATATATGTTTTTACAACAGCATTAAATATCGACATTAGGTAGCCAGTAAGTACTGACACAACTGTAAGATTTATTAAGATAGAGTCGCCGATACGTTTACTGTGGAGGTGGAGTAATTACCTTAAACACACCACCTAATAACAGCGTTTGGAGCGAGCAAGTGGGACAAAGATCACGACACAGCATCAAGAGGTCGCTTTCAAGGGCAGACAGCGCATTTTATTGATTTATTTTGAAGATTAATATTATTTTAGTATCGATCTTTGAGTCATGTTACTCAGTGAGATAGCCGGAGCGGACTTTTATTTCATCAATAAAAACCGTTGTCTTAGCTATCTGATCAAACAATTGAAATTAGCCTTATGACAAATATAGAGAAGGTTAAATTTTATATTCTGAAAGGAGATATGAATTCTACTATATGACAATATACACAATAAAAATTTGTCAATACTAAGTAACTCGAAACGAAGCAACGGGTCATTACTTAATCGAGTGCCAATGTCACAATATTTCTTGAGTTTTAAATGTCAGTAACATTGGCGTCAGTCCTACTGTGAGGGCTTTAACCCCACCAGAAGGAGCCTTTCATCTATACTTATAGCGCTTCGAATTACTAAACTGACAATTGATACCTATTGTCTATGTAAAAAATGTGTGTACATAATTTAGATTAACTTTCGGATTCGGATATGCATATTAGTTTCTGATGGAATAGTCTTAAAAATATAGGCTTCGCAACAGTCTGGTGATTTAATTTTTTTTACACACTTCAAGAATTGCGTTAAACAATTATCTCTCAAATAGTGATGTTAACTGTACATTTAGACATAATTGACTTTGTAGAAATGATCATAAGGCGCGGATTACAGGTCTACTCTCTGCACGTTGCAAAACTTGACTTCGTTACGGTCTCAAAACCCGAAAACATTTCACATGTAACTTGTATTGTACTTAATGAGTATGCCCATGAACTTTTGCTTTGCTTGCCAATACCCAGAAAGGGGGAAAATCTGGATTTACGTAAACGGAAGAAATGAAATTCGTTTTCAGATGCTTATTAACACAATTTTGTTTTTGTGGAAATACATAAAGATATCGAGTAGAAATCGTATCATACAAAGTTGAATAATTAATACTATTTATTAGGTATAGTGGAAAAGAGTGTAACAAATATTATTAACAAACATTTTTATCACTCGTTTCAACTCAAATATAACTCGTAATCTAATATCTATCACCACCAAGTAAGGCAGGTGAACAGAACATATAAATCAGAATTCAAAATCTTTAGAGCTGTCATATGTGCTGCCGTATATTTATATATAGGAGAAAATTTTACCTCCTATATATAACTTGAAAATATCAAATCAGATAATAGAAAAATATATACATTAATTTAAAACTCAACACATGTCATACATATTTGCAAACGCATAAGAATAGGACGACCCTTATCAAAAGACGTAGACGTGAGCAATTAATATCATACTTATAGACACTGATGAGTTCATTGTTTGCGTGTACCGACCGAAACACTGTTGCTCAATACACCCGGCTAGCTCAGCAGCCGCAAGGACGTCTAGTAAGTGGTAACCGACGTTGCGGCTACTTATTAAGAATATATTTGACATGTTTAGTTGGTGACGGGCTGGACAAACCTGCGCAATTTGCAGCCGATCACATGACGACCAAATCAAATTTCACATTTTTACAAATTCTATAAATAAAACGACCTTATAAGACAACGGTAGAGTATTTACTTAACTGTACCCCGGGCAAGAAATATTAGTATTTATTATAATACTAGGTCTATCTCGGTTAGAGGTATTTCGATTTGGGCTGCCCTTCATATTTGAAAGATCAAACTGCGGAAAAGTAGACAGTATTTCTCTGATTATTTAAAATTATCAAAGGTCGTAGGAGCTTATTTAAATAATCGAGATACGTATAAGTTCAAAAATTTGTAATCATATCCGTGATGTCAAGTTTAATCATTTCACAATCTCCCCGGGCCCATAAAGCTCGTTCTGTCTTACACAACATAAACTATAGTAAAAATCGACATATTAGCTCGGTGAATAATAATAAGATTCGTTATTGCGAAAAACCATTTGAATATTCGTTGATTCGTTCGTTTAGAAATAGAAAAACTATTATATAGTAGTCATTTGGCAGTATTTCTATACTAACAACATAAAGAGGAAAGATTTGACTGCTTGTTTTCATTCAATGGTTCAGAAACGACTGAACCAATTTAATAAATTCTGCCACTGTTCTTTTTATTCCGCGCGGATGAAGTCGCGGGCAAGTGGAATATGTTCAATGAAGCTCAATTATTTCAACTTATTATTAAGATATACAAAGCTATTTCAAGAACTGATGTAGTGTGTGAAGTGTGTTTAAAGAAATAATGTAAGCTTATTTTTCTAGATTAAGGCATTCAATAAAGTCTTGTATGAAATATTATGCACACTTTACACATTGTATGATTGAGCTTGATGGTTTAAAACATTTTCCACCTCGCCACGCCCTTTTGTATTGTCAGCACGTAATTGAGAATTGAAGAAAATGTTGTAAGTAGAAAATAACATATGCTATGTAGTGTGCGTTGCCGCAAACTCTTATACAATGATGTCGACTGAACAAATAGCTATGTGTTCCGCATTTCTAGTGAGCTTCATTTACGCAGGACGTTACGTACGGCATGCCCACTCGAGCGATTCGTTTGCCTAAATAACTACCAGTAATAGAAACTAACTAATGACAATTAGTTACTTGCTTAACAAACCGCATTTTCATTAAATTCCGTTTGCTAACGCAAACTCTAGCGTTGGCACATCGACGACCGATGTCGAGACAAAATCAATATTGTCATTTCTAAATAATCACCCTACGTCCTGTTCGACTGCTTAGTAATTTAAATACCTACATTTAAATTCAAACTATTATAACCTACATTTTCCGGTAGATAAAGCGACGCTTTTACAAAATTCTTACTTAATCAGTCAAGGACGGTGCGCAGATCAAAATCAAAGACACGGTGACTTGGAATAGCTAACGGGGTCAATGTTCGAAAAATAGACCAGTATGAAAGAAGAAAGGCTACAACACTCCTTAGCACGACAGGTTACTTACCCAGATTTGGCGCTATTAAAAATTCAACGAATCTCTCACAACTTTCACTAACAGTCGGCCAGCGTGTGATGCCGCTTGGACTGCCGCGTAAACAAATAACGTTCATTCACTCTTAGTCTCGTGTAGGTCACGATTAGACCTTAATAAAAATAATTACAGCTACACCATTACAAACGGATATTAGTGTTCATAACTTCTAATATATTTTAACCTACATACCTCTGTACTAGTCACTAGTTAATGGTTACTGTCAACATAGAAAATGCCGCTATAGTTTCTTGGGTGGTAAAGCAACCAAGCAAACTTCTAAAATGAATTATGAAAATGGTTGATGGACAATTAATTTGTTAATAACAAGCACATCATTAAATAATAATTTATCTTTATCAAATGTTTCGATTTTTATTATCGTGTCATGCTATAAAAATCTGTCTATTTCTGTTTTTATTTGTTTTTGATTAAACTTGCAATTAATTTAATTGTTTACCTCATTGTATTGTATTAAGAGATGTCATTTGTAGCAACGGATAACTGTACCTATTAGCAGGAAACATTTTTGAAATATTGTATTTTCCCTATTATCAAACGGTGTAAATGAGGACGTCATACGTAAAGAAATCGACGAGTAATTCAATAGCTATCGAAGGTGCAAATGAAATATTAATGCGAAAAATAATTGTTGCTTAGAAAGTTTTGTGTGACTGGAGATTTTACATCGCATGCTCGCACGCCGCGCGAGAAAGCACGACGCGCCGCATACTACTGGCCACGGACTCGCCAACGCCAACTATTTACAGACTACCCCAAATATCTCTAAACATCGGTATTTCTAATTGTATACCATACTACTTTCATTTTGTAATACCATGTAAATTTATGTATGAAATGCAGAGAATATATCGATATATTTTGGTAGCAAAATAGTCACATAATATAGACGCAAACAGTTATAACTTCTTATAAGAAACTAATTCAATATTTAATCAATGGTTTTGTTTGCAGAAAGTAAAAGTTATGAACAGAGAAAATTGGTTGTCAAACTCAACAAACTTGTACCGACTGACGTGCCGCGGACTTGAGAAGATTTCACTTTTAAAATTTCCAATGCATGTTCGACCTGCTTCTCACTAATAATTTACAAAAATGTCATAGATTTTCAAATTTATCCACACTAAATAATTGTAATTCGATTGCTAAAAATATAGATCAGCTGACTTTTAGGTTAAATGTCATAATGTTATGTAAAAAATACTTGAATGAATGAGTATATATGAGATGTATTGTTATGAAAAATCATCGAACGTCGCTAATTAAATTATGTAGTTATTGATTGTAATTCATAAAATTAAGAGAAATATTTTGAAATATGAGGCTTTCTAACCTGACATGTTCGTCCAAATATCCGCAATGGAGTTGGTCCTGGAGGTTTGAGTTTCACAAATACAGTTTGCCTTCGAACTTTATGTCCAAATTGACACATTAACTTATCTTGAACACGAGCACAGAGCCTACTCGGACTTAAACACGCCATAGCTACAACTGCTACGAGACGCTTGCGGACATGAACTACATAACACACATAGCACATAAGCGCTGTGCCTTTTTCTCCCCACTTAACCAGCTGATTGTCAACGGCCATGTTTTTTGGTGTTGTCATATCGAAAGTTTGTAAATTAAACTAAAATACTCTTGCTACTTCTTTTAAAAAGGTTTGTTGGCATTTTCAACAATTCCTGTTTTTACTTTCGTTCTTTTTGAAACTCTTTAAAATTTTAGGATTTGATGTCTTGTAGTAAACTTGGTGGAATAATTTTTTTTTGTGATAGGATTATAAAATTTACGAAATTTTTGCACTTTATCCTGTTGGCTTACAGCAGCTAACAGGCATTACAGGTTCAGCTACCAGGCCATAAAAACCTAAAAAAATCTTTATCCTGTACTATTTAGGCACTGCTATGCACTATGAACATGATCTGACACATAACCTAAAATAGATTACAATTTTGTCAGGTTTAGATTCAAAACCTTAGTTATTGTTTAACTTCTTTCAACCTCAAAAACATACATATACAGTGTACTGAAGATGTTACCGCGATTTGGGTATATGCTAAACGTCCTAAAGACAATTGAAAGAAATGTACTTCACTTGTTTGGCCATCCACCAAAAGGTATACTGAGTTTATTTATGTTTCTATATTACTTAATCCATATAAAAACACAATTATATCATTCTTATTAAGGTCGCAACAATACATGTATGCAGGCAATGATAAACTTGTTATTTACTATTTTTCAGAATTAGCTTTAGTTCAAATATATGAGAAACAACCAACACATCCTAAGAAAAGTTTTTCTATTAAGGACATAGTTGGAGATGGTTTTCTTCTGGCTGTTCCCAAATTTAGGAGAACCATTGAGAAGAGACTGAAAAGAAAGTATGGTTATCCAGAATATGTATGGAAAATGCTTGTCCCTAAAACTAATATCAAAGTATGTAATGAATGTGGACATCATCATGAGCGGGGACGCCTTTGCGGTAATACACAATGTTTATAAATATATCTTTTTGTTAGCAGATATTATGTGATTATGATGTGAAGTTATGCATGTGTAAAAATGCTCTGAGCGGATCTGTAAAAAAGATGATAGATTTAGCAGCACATCTGCTCCCCCAGAGAGATTTTTATGAAAGTCTATTACAAATGTTATCTTCTCTAAATGTTACTTCATTTCTTTCAGAACATTGCTACAAAAAAGTTGAAATAGAAACAAAAGAGATTCAAGCTAAAATACAGGAGAAATTAGGCAATAGCCCTATTGAAAAAGATGTCATTGTGCTTTATGAAGGAGAAAATCCTCCTGATACGGTAATAACCTTTATTTATTTTAAACTGAGAATTCAATTATGTTTATACATATTAACAAATTGTAGTGGCAAGGAATATGGCAAGTCATATGATACCGTGACACAAAACAGACATTTATGAACTTACAAATAACAAATTTACAGGAGTATGTGTTGCCTGTTTAATTTTGTTACAACTTACACTAACATTGTTATCTTTAAATACATTATTTTAATTTACAGCCCAAGGAGTTTTGGAATGGTAAAAGAATAGTAGAGATGAAGAAAGAAAGACCACAATGGTTCAGTAAAAACCTTCTGCAGAAATCAACTCAACAGCCATCTGACTCCACAGATGTCAAACCAACTGACTTAGCTTAAATTTACATATATTGTAGAAACTGTAATTAATTTGTAGTTTTAAATCATTAAAAATACTTTTAAAAATGTATCATAATTATTTATTCAAAGTTTAAAATTTATAATATTTACAAGAATGTCTAATACTGGCAGGCAACATCTTATATGAAATGGAATGTTTTTAAATCATAAAAATATAATTATGATTCCACCATCTTTCCTAGTTAAGTCACAAAAAATATTGATTCACTTCTATTGGATATCTTTGATTGAAAGGTTAATTAATAGTTGGATAGAATCCTTTACGACTTTGTTTAATAAATCAATTCTTTTGTTTTTGAAAAAAAAAAACATACTACAGTGGATTTGTTTCCCTGGCGGCTTAGCGTTTTCAATATGGCAGTTGATTTTGAATACTACTGTCCAACTGATCTGACATGTTATTAATAACATTAGTCAGAGAAAAATATTCATTACATTTTTATACTATTATTTTAAATTAAGATATAATAAAAGTCCTGCATAAAATTTGAAATAAGATGTGCTGTAATTTTCTAATTATCTCAACCATTATTTTAATCCTCCACCACAGATAAAATAACTGCAAAGCTATATCCTAAAACTACATCTGCACCATCATACAAACATACTCAATTTAATAAATTACTTAACTATAAAAGAGAAAATGTATTATTGCAGTTATGTTTACATTATTGTTCTAAAATAAATATAAAACAGCTAACATTCTAGCATTTATCAGGTGTTGGCACAAACTAGCTTTGAACCCATCAGGGCCCTTCTTCAAGGTGAGTGGGATTAGTATTATTTCGCACGACCCTTCACACTGACAAATGCAATGCCCTTAAGAAAGTCCCATGAAGGGCTTGCAACTAATCTGTGCTGACACTAGATAAGTTGTTTATATTTAATTTATTATAATGTCTCACAAAAATTTAAATAATTTAATCACAGGTTTTAATTATTTTTTAAATATCAGCATCACATGACATTTTCAAAAGAATTGTGACCATTATTTAAATTGAAAGAATCTTCGGTTTCACCAATAAAGTGTTGTTCTACATGAGATTGAAATATTGAAAACTCAATATGCTTTTTAAAAGTTTCACCGCATATTGGACACATTTTGTCATAAGGTTCAGCGATGTCACTATTTGCATCATACTCTGAAGCATTCTGAACTAATGATGTGCTGTTTTCATTGAAATTTTGAGACTCTATTGTAGCTAGATCAACAAGACTTGTACTTGTTTCAACTTCTTTGTCCTCTGTAGTTATTTGTTTCAATTTGTTCGCTGCGCATGATGGACATTTGTAACCTTCTGAAATTATAAGAAATTACATTAAACCTAAAAAACCTGAATATTTTTTTTATCACATTATTTACAGATCATATTAAAATTCTATTACAGAGCATTTATTTTTCAGCTAAGCCTTTCAAAATATAATAGACATCTTCCAAAATAATTACCGAGTAGAACAGACTCCACTTTAGATAATACTAGTTTTAAATCTTTTTCTTGTAGTTCTATCTCCTTTTTTAAATTATGTAATTTCTCTGTTTGATTGTGTATTTCTTTCAATGAATCAAATGCTGGGTCATCTATATATGTAAAACCTATGGAATCAACATTTAGTATATCATCATCTATTTCTTGAAGCTGAGACATTTGTTCATATTGCTCTACCAATTGTGATTTCTCTTGAATGTAACTGTTTATTAGTTTTAGAGATATTTCTTCTAAACTTGATTCTGAATATTTTTCTTGACAATTGGAACTCGACCTTAATGTGTTATTTACATATGTGTTTGTGCGTAGCAGAGGTTGTTTCAGTCCTTCTCTTGGTGGTTTCTCTGAACGCTTCAAAGTCGAAATTTTATTCCACAAGTTTTTATTCTCACATGAAACCATAAAAACATGATGCATAAGTTGCGACTTTTGCTTATTAAGCTCCGCTATTTGTTGATGAAGTCTTAATTTCTCGTCTTCTTGCAACGGAATGTAAGGAGAACTTCTTTTAGATATATCTAGTTTTAACTTCATGTTATCATTTTCTAAAGTACTTAATCTTCGTTGCAGTAGTAAACATCGATCACGCATTGCGTGCAAGGCTAATTCATGTACACTCACATCACCTTTTAGCGTGGTCTGATAAGTGGAGTCATTGTTGAAACTAACTATCGACGAAGAATCCATCATTTATTATACCCTTTTGTTCATAAGTTGTATCTGTTTTAGTCTAAATATCTACAAGTTGACAGAAATTAATCCTAAAGATCCTCAACAGAAACCTATCTAATTTATTAACTGCAAACATTCATGTATTTAGCAAATTGCAACTCAATCTGTTTTTCCAACAAGAAAAAATGTCAAAAAAACAAATTACAATTTAGGTTATATCAAATGTAGATGTCAAAATATGTCTGATCTCTGTGGTCAATGCAATGTTATATGCAATATGTCAGCCTAGTGATGTTCGTGGTGTGTGTAAACATTTTAGTGTTAGTGTGCAGTAGCAGTGAAATTCGATTGGAACGCAAACCTAAATCGATTTAAAGAAACAGTGAAGAATTTCATGACTACTCGTAATCGTACGCGAATTCATTAGCGCAGAATAAAAAAAAGCGAAATTCTTAAAAAAAACATAATCTGGCTAATTGAAATTATACTGGTTCTATGAAAGGAAGTAAAGATTCTTGTGATACTCCGAATACCCAATATTTCAAAATAAGAATAAATAAAGATCACCTTGATTTAATGGTGCCGTGCATTTTTTTATATACTCTTTGGTGCCGTGCCGTATCTACTGCACATCACTTTTCCTCTTGACATTTCCTCCAATTCTCTAACCATAGATATAGTTTATTCTGTGCCTGTGTGTTGTCCATGCCCCACTTTTTTTTTATTTCTTCGTTCATCATTTTGTCTTTGTCGTTGTCATCGCTCGCTCCACTGTGATGTTGTAATGTGCGTGAATGTGTTGTTATTTTCTATTTTATTAGTGTTTTATTAAAAGTTTATACATTATTTTACTCTAAATTTCACCTTGTTAAGCTTTTTTGAGTCATAAAACATCATAGAAGGTAATACTGCTTTGAAAAACGTAGCAGTACTTTGTTCTATATTTTAATGTTTGGTTTGCATAAGTGAGTTAAAGAGGACATAATAGTGAATCACGGTAATATAAAATACAAGAACTTATTAATGTTAAAGGGTAAGTGGCAATAATTGTATTTAATCTACTTATTTTGATTTAAACTTGTACTGGATACAAGATAATAGAAACAGTGTCAATGTTGACTGCTTGTTTTTTTTAAGTTTCTTAAGGATTTTAATCTTGTTGCAGTGCTTTTTTGAAAATGTTTATTGTTTTATAGTTTGTTAAATTCAAATAGAAAGTTAGGTTGTTATACTGTTATGTCTAAGTAAAAATTGGTAGCCTGTGGGTAGAACTGTTTAATATATTAATGTACCCTTTGTAAGCAAATGCTTTGTTACAAATACTAAACCACTGTTTATTGTAGCTGTTGAGTTATTATGTAGTGCATGTTTTGGTAAACTTTTTCCATCAAGGTTCACATCAACAAATATTTTCATTATCAAGCCGTCTCAACCCTCATAATCATGTTTATTTCAACTATGAATGCAAAGCAACCCAAAAAGGTGATTTCTATGATTTTAATTTTTCATTCACAAAATGTTTGTTTTCACTGATGATACATAAACATGCCCATGAGATTATTTGGAAATTGGTCATTTAGTGTGTATTAGATAGTTACTAACTTCTGAGCCATATCTTTATAATTGTTTTCTGAAGTAAGGCTTGTTTTCACAACTTTTCTCCTTGTTTCTTTTTCTTATGTATTAAAATCATCAGTAAATATATGAGCCTCTATTCATTTCAATAAACACAAGCTAACCTACTTGCCAGGTGGTGTTCATTTTCTTGCAAAAAAAATTTAAGTGGCACACAATATAATGAAGACACCAATACAAGTCACTCTATGTTTTAAATTACTAGGCGTAGAAGAGTAGTGAATAATACCTATCTCTGGCAAATAAGGTTCACTTACTTACATGTGCATTGTCATGGCAAGTAATGTGTATAAACACATGTAAACACATCTAAATTCATGTTTTAATAACAAACTTGTAAGTGCACTGGTTTACACTAATATTTACATAACTCGTAAGCCCAATTATACGAAACCAATATAATGATACTATTGTACATTTGATTGTTGTCAGGATTTGTAATAAACCTGTCACCATTTATAAGGATTCATTAACAACATTAAAATAGTAATATTTTCGATAGTTCCAATTTATTGTTTCTGAGTTTATATTACAAAAATAATATATAGAGGAAATTATAACCGAGAGTTTCCGTTTCCAATTCTTTACCATTGGGCACAAATTATGCGTTCTCTTTATAAATTGACCAAGAATCTGTATGTCAAATACTTACATAGTACAACAATGCTAGTTGCCAGATAATTTGATGACCCTGTAAACATTTCTTTTTAGTTCGTAGTAATTGTACCCGTTATCGCCGCTACATCCGGGATGAGCAGTGGGTTCTGAGCAAGCGTACCCGCATCCCGCAACGAAAACAAGGCGCGAATTCACAGAACACAGAGTATACAATTGCATAAATAATTTGTTGTTGTATGATGACATGCCCCTGAGCTGTACTGAGAATCTCAATCTTATCGTATTGTACTACCCTTTGATTTGAATAATTATTAGATAACATTATATCTTAATATTTTTATGAGAAACAATCTCAGCTTAATTTAATTCGGTCATTTTACATCATTACAATTTCCGTGTAACATCTTGCTTTCCTCAATTACTTTTCCCTCTCAATGGTTATTTGAAATCAATCACATTTAAATAAGGTATACTGGGGATTGGTATTCCTAAATGAGCTAATTTTGTATCATGAAATTATGAATTACATATACCAGTGGTGAAGTGCTATATATAGTATAGTAAATATTATTGACATATTAAGATGACACATGACTTTCCTTTAGATAAACATTCCCAAGATATTTACACATTTTTATTCATTAACATAAGCATGTATATTTCATGTGTGTCTTCTAATCTGTGTACCTCCATCAAATAGTTACTAAACATAAGAGAATCTTGTCCGTATGAGTCATTAAGTCAGGGAATATGCTCAATACAAAGATAATTACATTATCTTATTCTTATCGTCTTAAGCCTATTTCACGAAGTTGTATAAGTTCTCTTCCTGACAATTGAAAGTCATACAAATAAAAGAATAGTCAGGGCCTAGATAGTTGCCGCAATCATTTCATAATTTATATGTTTTTAAATATTTTTGCCTTTTAGTTTGATGTCCTTAATATATGCGGTCAAAATCTAAAAACGATTGTTTAAATATAAATGGCGGAAGCGTGCCAATGAAGTAAACACAGCGTGTCAAACTTACAAACCATTGTAAGTGCAGACTTCATTGTTACTGGAAATGTTATTGTCACGCGCGTTTACTTTGCTTGCTCATTAATTAATAAGTTATGACAAATATTGATTTGTATACGGTACCACATGTGTGAATACATATAGTTGTTTTTATTCATTTTTAGAGAGGAAGTATGCACAAAAAGTATCTTCCAAGCCAGGTGGGTAGATTCTATTTAGGGTAAATGAACAGATGTCTTGTTTGGTTTTAATTAACATCATAACTGAGATTTTTATGCAGTATGTCTTCCTCTTAATTATCCTTATAAATGAACAGTCAGCGTCATATAGATCGTCACAGACAAGATATGCAAATATATAGGTACATCAAAAGTAATCAATTATATCGGTACAACAAAAGTCCTCAAAATAATAGATACATTCACCCTGCTCAAAAACATCGGTACATACACAGCGTCAAATATATGAGTACATGCAAGATGGTCATAAATATCGTAGCATCCACAGCGTCATAAGTAACGAAGCAGTCAAGGTGCTCAAAAATATCGGTACATTTGACAAAATTGAACTCTATCTCTATATACTTGTGATACAATTTGGAATAAACTACTTCTGTTACATTCATTTGACACTTTGCATCAAACCATTTTTCAAAATTTACTAAAAGTGTTCGACGCGGATGACAGATATTACGTAGAAAAAACCAACATCAAATTTAAGTTTGTCATCATATATGCTAGTTTGGTCTCGTGGCCTTACCGTTCGCCGCCGTTGGTACGTAAGTTCGGCGGTTCAAATCCCAAGCAACTATTTTTTTTTGATATTTAAACTTTTTAATTTTAATATCGAAGCACATGTAATTAAACTCTATCGCCGTAGTTATTAGGTACTTTTTGATATTGCCTTGGACTAATGAGTTTGAACGCTAAAGTACTTTTCTATTTCAAACAAAAATGAAGGAGATAAAGTGATGCTATTGACATGTAATTTGTTTATTACTCATGTTTGTTAAACTTGTACCGGTAAAAATAACACTTTTACTTTTACCTTTTACTGATACTGATTATATTTAAGAAACAAAGAAAAAAATCTGAATGTCAATATCCAAACTACATCAAATTTTTGGTCGATTGCAATAAACATTCCAGTGTGCGTGGGCGCGCACACATATGTAGATAACACTTGTACGTATAGTTTCCGCGCGTACCATTCTTAAAACCCGCAAAGACAATCCACGCTCCGCCCACTCACTTCAACCACGATGGTCTGACTTAATTGTTGTTAACTTTATTTAAATTTCTTTCTACCCGACAGCGAAAATTATAAAAAAAATTGTCGAGCAAAATTTTACATTACCAAATTTTTACTGGTTATGAAAAAATAACCACGTGATTGATAAAATGAAAAAAAAGTAGCCTGAGATTCGAACCGGTAAACTTACATATTACGGCAAACATACTAGAATACTGCGCCAAACTAGTATATATTGTGACAAGGCAAAATTTGATATTAGTTATTACGTATCTGTCATATTCGGCGTGACAAACTTTTATAATATATTTAAGCGTTATGACAGGAGAAGAAAAATATTGGGTTGCCCAGTAAGTTCGTGCCGCTTTATAAGGAAAATTGAAACCCTGTCCTCTTAAATTTTTTGAAATGGTTTTAAATTATATTGGTACGACTCTATACCTAAAACGTCTTTTATTATTGGATAAAATTTTAAAAATTAGTTTTTATCTCAACCATTGAAATGAAATTATTCACAATATAGAAATTTTTGTGACGTTTGATAATGGTGGAAATCCGAAAATGAATCCACTTCAGCTACAGTCTATTGTAAGCTTTATATCGAAAATCAGAACGAACTTTCCGGACAACCTATAATGTTAATACGAAGTGTCAAATGAATGTAACAGAAGTAGTTTATTCCAAATTGTATCACAAGTATATAGAGATAGAGTTCAATTTTGTCAAATGTACCGATATTTTTGAGCACCTTGACTGCTTCGTTACTTATGACGCTGTGGATGCTACGATATTTATGAGCATCTTGCATGTACTCATATATTTGACGCTGTGTATGTACCGATGTTTTTGAGCAGGGTGAATGTATCTATTATTTTGAGGACTTTTGTTGTACCGATATAATTGATTACTTTTGATGTACCTATATATTTGCATATCTTGTCTGTGACGATCTATATGACGCTGACTGAACAATGAGCATGTGTTTAAAATTGTTGAATGAAATC